CTTAAAAAGTAAGGTAATAAGAAAAAGATCAGAGTACTGTATGCCCCCCTAGATATCAAGCAATTTTCGTTTGAAACATTTTTTCGTACAATGAATAACTTACATGTTATTTTAAGTCTTCATGTTAGCAGACTCACCTTGTATGTACTTTGCATTTCCATTATTTATAATTCATGAAATGCGACAGACTTTATTTAAACGCATGTATTCTTGTAGACTATTAACGCGGAGTAACAAATTTCTTGTGGAAATCGTACATTTCTCAGGATCACTGATTGTCTTGCGACTCTACTCCGCCTTCTGAATCTCCTCCCACGCTGACAGTATCACCGCTGCGAAACTAATCGCAGTTCGAACGCCAAGAAACGCCACAAAGATGCTACCACACTGAAATTATGTCGCAGGATGCAAAAAGCAAATTACATAAAATTGAAGATCGAGTAGGTTACGAGGCTTGTATTGCTCGGAAACGGCCAGAATTTACGAGCATGGTAAAAGACGAGGTTTCCCGCAGCAAGAGAGCCGGTTCGTAAAAATGAGAAGATACGCGTGAAATTTGTTCGGATAGTGTTTTAATAAAATCAGACTTGTCTCTACGATAGCGGTACAACACTCAAATTTGCATTGTTATTGTCCTGGCGCGGCGTGGCTTATCAATAATTTTCAATAATTCTTCCATTTACATCGTATTTACGATTATTTGAACGGAAAGACAGTATGAAACGGGGCTGATCAACCGGTTGATCGCGACATGCTTCCGAGTCGATTGCGAGCTCTACATCTGTTCTGTACATTAAATTATTATTAATATAAATTGATTCTATTAAGGCGTATCGTAAATAAGTTCGGTGTTATTCGATGATTTTTCTTATTAGTGTTAATTTCCCTGAATGGTGAAGTATAAGTGTTAGGCAACAAGTACATAGCTCCTTGATGATTACAATTATTAAGTGTTTCATTGCATCTGCAATGATATAACGAAATTCTTAGAATTAGAATATGTTTTTACTTGTAATCGAACTTACTCCTATTTCAATTTAATGATAAATAATACGATGAAATAAAGTAAGTGAAATTAGAATAAAAATGGCACTATATTCTGGTCTGTAATGTCATGTTTTGCTTCTAAATATTTTAAACTCAAAAATAAGGAATTCCTTAACTGGTGAACAGCTCGATCTGTGTTTCAAGTATGCCCTCTGTTGTATAATCTCAACTTTGAAGTTTATTATTTAATAATGTTGGGTAATGTCAAATATTTCGTTAAAATTACTTGCATCGTCAGTTACTGTGTTTCTCAACTTCCGTCTAATAATATGACTAATTTGTGTACCGTACACTCTATTTTTGTTCATACTGCTATTTCATTGTCCTCATCGGCGGCACTTGTATTAACCTTTAAGTATGGAAGTCTGAAAATTTGCGATTAATGTTAAATATTCTTGTCCGTAGCAGCTAATTAAAAAATTCATTGCATTTATTCGTTTATACTTATCTAAATATCTCTACGTAGATAAAGGTACGTGAGACTGCACGTTCATATTTCAAGGTTAAGTAAAAGCAGTTCGACCATATAAAAATGTTGAGCAATTCTAATGTAAGATATAATAAATCGTTTTAGGAAATTCGCTGTATAAAAAGTCAAGAAAAGAAGAAAACCACAAGGTTATTCTTAAATAAAGTACGAACAACTGTATAGTAAATAGTATATTAAAAAGCATACCTTCTACAGTACTTTAACCCTTTACACTCCACAGGCGTCTCTCAGTCGTCACTTGATTTGATACAGCAAAACCATAAAGTTTGATATTTCATGTTAAATTTCACAGAAAGCATCAACACCTGAAATATTAAAATAAAACAACTGCGTTCTTTAATTTATGTACGATTTCTCGTTAAGTTAATTTCAAATAATATCGTCTACATCTGACTAGAAAATGTTAGCATGTTTTATATTTTGAACCGGTAGGTTATGTGAATATTTTATGCAGGCGCATTAATGTATTTTCATCGCAAATGCATCATCTTTCAAAGCAAACAACACTAAATTCATTCAACCCTTCCCCTTAATTCTTCTTTTTGGTTCTTCTCGTGGTGTGCTCATACATCTAATGTTGACAATATAGAATAATTATCTTATAAATTGAAGCAGAAGAAAACCAATTTTGCTTAACGTTGCATCGAGATAATCTATTATCGCTTATTACAATTTACAACAAACATAAACATAGAATATGCCTAGAATTTTTCTCTTTCTCCAATAAATTATTAGTAACAAAGTAGTTGTATCGATCATATAAATCATAGGGTGAGGAGTTAATTCTGAGTATTTTTAATAGAGATCTTTTCGAGTGCAAAGCATTGAAACCGGATAATTCTCATGATCGCTTATTTACCAGGTAAATGACCTACAGATTTTCGGTAACCTGACACGAACAATCTCATATTGCCTTTCTTTGCTTTCTCCGCAATACGTAATAAAGCTTCCTTCTAGTAGTTTCTGGTCTTACATACTTATTGGTCCAACGTCGTTGCTCTCAGAAAGACCTACGCTCTGCAGGAGTTCCCAATCCGTAACAGTTTCCTTTAGAAACTCAGAATGCTCCCCTGGACTCCTGCTTCTGTGCATGACGACCGAAACAGTGGATACCAGGTATATTCCACCTTCATCTTTGCTAGTTTCAGAACCCTCATTCAAAGGGATGTTTCCACAAACGTTGCTTTCCCACTTGAACGGTTAAACGGACTTGAGAAATGCATCTTAAGAAGCATCTTTGGTTGTGGGGTGAGAAGTCCTTTTTTCCGAAATATACCTAATGAAAGCTTCTCGGACAGGAGATGAATGGAGAAAGTAGTTGAATTCGACTGGAAATACTCGACACGGTACAGTGCCACTTATCTAGTTCAACGGTACGCTCTTTATATTTCTGAAATCCCTCTGGAAATGCTCTGAAGCGGTGTGAGGTCAATAACGCAGATGGCGGTTTTCCGATGATACGCAAAGAATCATGTTAGGAGTCTTCTGAAATCATATACAACATTTGCAATTGTTATTGGAGCATGCATTAATTGCAATATTAATATTGTAATAACTATTAGTACCGAGAAATTAGTGATATTGTTATTAAGCCTTTCGCTACAATGGACGAGATATTTCGATTCTACGATGTCAAAGAAACGATGTTATCAACGAGATATCTCGTCACCATTATGTCATGCGTACGATGCTATAGACAAATATCTCATGTACTTTTATTATTGATAAAATAATAAATATAAAATTTTCTACTTAAATACTATACCCTACTCTACTAAAATATAAAATACTTATTTTACAAAGTTTTAATTTTTATACAATTAGAGTTAAGAGGGTGACAAGAACTGTAATCACTATAGGAGAATCGCAAAGTATTTCTACTGTGTCAAGTAACTTGCCTGTCAACGTTAATTCTGTATTATAGCATCAATATTAATCGAGTATTGCAAGAAAAATAATTGTAATCGAAGTAGATCTAATATACAAAAATAGAATCCACAGAAAAAAATCTTATCCAACAATAGAATGTATAGTTTACAAAAACAATGGCCAACTGGGGGAAATCAGATATTTTTGTAAAAATTGTTTCTTCGCATTGTGCATTTCACCGTGCTTTAACGCATCCCATACAAAATAAACCATAAAAACTCTAATTGTGTAAAATAAGGAGTATTTTATATTTATTATTTTTAAGCACCTTCCAGTAACGATGACATATCTTAAAAATCGATTACTTGTGTCACTTGTATTGATTTTCAAATAAAACCCTTCATATCAATAATAAAAATGCACGAGATATCTCGTCCATTGTAGTGAAATAGTTAAGGTAATTGATTGATTAAGGTAATTTTGTCATTATCAATTTACCTAGAAACAAAGAAGAATTCCCAATGTATCTATATCCACGTTTACTGTAGAGCATAACTATTAAATCCAAGAATTCCAAAACAGCACAAGTGAACCAATCAACATTTAGAGAAAATCAATCTTTCTTTTCGCCATCGCTCATTCATTCATTCAGTATCTATTTAGTTAATTCTTGCTGCAAGCATTGGTTACACATACATCTTCATTATGTGTACATTTTTAATATTGTTAAATATGTAGGTCTGAGTAAGCTAAAAACGGTTACATTAATAACTCATATGGATAACATAAAAAGTATACTCTTTCGGAATCCACGATTTCAATTGATAATAAAAAAATAGTATTTAATTTGTACCCGAAATAATTGAGTGACATTCATCCTTCTTAATTTTCATTTGAAAATTTACTCACGAGTCTGACTCGATATGGCATAGCCAGCGTTTAGCCTGGTACTATCTAGTGGTCTCTAGCAGTATTTAAGCAGAGTCTAAGATTTATTTAAAGAATTTAGTTAGACTAACAAGAATTGTTGAAGTTGAAATACCAAATGGATTAAAATTACTATTTCAAAAGACCTTCTTTTCTTGCCCCGTAGTCATGCACAACCTCGTTGAGAATATTGCTCCTCGTGAGGGAATACAAATGAAATATAAATAGCGTCATAACTTCAAGACTTACAAGGTACATGAACTTTCAGCCTGTACAGGTCGCACGGATAGCGTAGTCATGATAAGTTAGCTAGGCTGAAGAATACGGAACTGATTGACATGTAATAGCTCCAACACTGTTTGGCGTTGTATCTCTTCTATCGCTCGCAGTTTCATTAATGGCCGAGACGGTCACACCTAGAAATCGAATTGTCTGCCAATGCGCTAGGAAGGACTACGACAGCGTCAAAGGTGTGACTGTGCAAAAGGAGGAAGTATCACCCCTGTTATATGTCCTACTACAATCCAACTTTTCATCTTTGCATTTTTCTTGACAATAGCTGAGAATGTATCAAACTATATACTTTATTATGCTGACCTTTTCGTGGGATTACATTACATTACATTAGACTCCACCATGCAGTGCACCCAAGTGAAAAGTATTTGCTCTCTATAGAATCGCAGTGAACCTCATCGAAGGAATATTTCTGGGACTCTGCGTGAACCGGAAACTATCGAGATAAAAAGATGAACAAAAGTATAAAGTCGACAGACCCAGAACACCCAATCCAGTTCTGAGTTGAGTGGAGTTTAAGTCTGAATTTAGAGTAGTTCTAGATCATTATATATTATTGTATAAATAGATTGTAACAAGTTACTGAGACATAATTATAACAAAGAGTCATAAGCTTCTCTTAGGATTTTAAGTGTCCTTTTCTTAAAGACTTGATCTTTGGTCCTGATAATTAATATATTTTTCACAAATTTAAAATTTTTTATTTGTGACGATCTTTTAAAGCTAAAGCTACGGAAACATTAACGATAGAATATTAGTAGCTCAGAATAGTAATGATCTAATTATTATTTTTACATTCTCTAGAAAACAACCTTTTGTGAAATGTTCTTACACTAATTAATATTACGATAATTAACATTACGATGTTATTAACACTAAAACTACCAGGCGGATCAAAATGACCATTCCCGATTTCTTCTTTTGGCAATTTTTAAAAAGATAACAAATGCTTCTCTGAGAAATTCTTTGAAAAAATTGATTCATCAATACGTAAACTGAATTATAAATCAATTAAAGGTAAATGCTTCAATAGATTCACTTTTGGAGTTTCTACAGAGGAATTTAAAATTCAATTTAACTGCTTGGAAGTTTCAGTGTTAATGATATTAATCATTAATTATAATATTAATATTTAATTAATCCAAGAACATTTCGTAAAAGCTTTTCTCCGCGGAAACTCCGAAATAGAAGTCCGGATACCTATTACTCTGATCTACTCGTATAACACGTCCGAAAATATCGTAGCTATAGACATAAAGTAACCGGCTTCATTTATCTAATTTCTATGACAGCAGCCGTCGCATATGTATGATTAGATGGCAGCGAGAAACAAATGGCAAGTGTTTGGACACGTAACCATTCTAAAAGCGGAAGCTATCAATAAACTAGCAGTTTTAGAGCGGGAAAATTTGCATTGTTTAGACAAATTTCAGGCTGATATAGACATATATACCTGTCTATCTACTTACCTTGTTATCTGGCTTCCTACCAGTAATATATTATTCAGAAGCACGCGGGAGTTCCCAAGAATGCTATTGGATCCGTGCCAAAGATCCTCAACGACGAACTGGCAGCTCGACGGCTTTCGACGATACCAGACGAATGTACGTAGGGTACATATATCCGCAAGACGTCTCGTCACGATTATTCACGACCATTGACCACGAATAAACATACTGTACACTTTATAGTGAAAGACTAACTTCGGCTACCTTGGAGAGGAACAGATAACTGGCCATTAAATGTGGCTATGCGTCATTAATTCTCAATCTTTACAGCGAGTGTTTTATTTATAACCCGTGAAAGAATATTCTTATTATTTTGATCTTTCTTAGGATACTGTTATTTTACGTAGAATTTTTCTTAAATTTTATTGGAGACTATACTGTTATTACCACGAATTTTTAACGAAAATAACATAAAACATTTAGTATACTCCAAAGACACGTTACATGTGAACAGAATAAACAGATTTATTTTATCGCGTTGTTAATAAATCACTAATGATTTTACTAAACTTTATTGGATCAATCATTGTTAGCCTATTTACGTTCAGTACTTTCCAGAGGAAACTTCTAATATATATCTTCTTACAATATTGAATAATCTTCTTATAGTAACTACAAAGAACGAAAATTATCGAGGATATTGATTCTGGTTACGGTATTGACAGTCTTGTATCTGTTTTATATCAATTCTGCATTCTGTAGCAGTTCTATAAGGGTTCTATATTGATTCTGTATTGGTTCTGTATTGACCCTGCATCAGTCCTGTATTAGTGGCAAATACCGAATCGATAATACATCTACTACGTAAGCATTCAATTATTAATTTTAAATCTTTTCATAGTATGCCGTGTATTAAAGCTTATTATAATTTAAACAAATAATTACTACAGATCGATCATGTTAGAATTAACTTTTAAATGATGCATTAGTAGTTTTATGAAACATTACTCACTTTAATACCAATAATGTGGCAAGAAACAGTTACTAACACGTTAATTGAGCTTAAGATCATTTAGGCTCATTGCGTTCTAGAGACAGAGTTTGTTGCTGTAAATGTGCTTTGCAAACAAGTTTTAGTACTTTACTACTTATTCCATTTATTATGATATTATGATATTATGTTATGACATTGTTATGATATTATGTTATGATATTATAATATCATGATGTTATAGTTTCCTTAATGATATTATTAATTCTAACAAAAATTTGAGTTTGGTTGGCGAACTGTACATTGCAATGTTGTCTTTGATACCAACCGGCAACCGTAACACGAGAAGGATTGGACTTGATGAACTTTACGGCCAGCTTCCGAAGTCAACACAGTAAATTCCCCAATTATCGTTTTCTAAAGAAAACAATTCTAAATTCTCTTAGACTAGGTCAATATTGAAAAATTTTACTGACAGCTCATCAGTGAACTACGACTCGAAGTCTCTGCAAGTGCGGCAGAGACGATATTATCGCCTGAATGTATAGTGTTTGTACGTCATGTTTGTTCTCACGCGAGCGGGTTCTGAGTTAAGTGCAGATCCCTGTATTAATTATTGTGTTAGGATGTTTGAAGAACAAGTTTATGATATGGGTGATTGAAAACCGCTATTTCCGAGAAACAAGGGAGCCAGTGATGAAGATATTTCCACGAGTTCAACTTGCTTGCAGGTCATCAATAATAGTGCCCGCGTTATGATCAGCTTCCAATAATACGATAAAAATCGCTTCAAAGTTCAAAGTTCACGCCGGTGCTACTATTTCTGTTACCACTTCGAATTCCTTAACTGCCAGAAGTATTTATTCTCGTCGTAAAAGTATTATTGAATTCCGCCAGTAGCTGGATATAATCTCCACACTTCACGGGAAGAGAAACATTATTTTAAGAACGATACATACCGCTTTGTATGTGATATTAATTTCTTAACCTTTTACACTCTGAGTTCCTTTTAAATTTTCTTTTCAATAACGTTATATTGTTTTAAGTGTTTTATTTGAAAAGTATTTCGAAAAATAGTTAGTTGCTAGGAAACAGTGTAACAATTCTTTTTACTAATAGTATTGAAAATGGTATAAATAGCGTAATACAATTTAAAAATGTCACAACAGAGAAACACACTTTTGAATACATCTGATGTCGAGTCACATTGGGCATAGGAGTGCAAAGGATTAAAAACAATGTATTGATTTGTGCATTATTTCAGTTTTCGCTTACTACAATTTTGTAGCTAGATCACGAAGCTCTTTTTTAAGCCTTTGAGAACGGATGTCATCACTTTGGCAACATCAAACTTTCATATTTAGAATTCTAAGTGGTTAACAAATAATTCAATTGTTCTAATAACAACAAATCGACGTATAATTTCTTTTTCTCTAGTATTGAATAGTTTGATATATTGGGTGTATGCAAAAATTTGGACGTCTGTACATGATTAAGAAAAAAATGTTGTTCTTCGAAACAGATAATATCTGTTTTCAGACTACTATAACATGTATAAAGAATACTTCTTTCTTCGTTTTTACTTAGTTTTTGTTTAGCCAACGAACAGTTGAGAACTTTTCTTTTTATTCCTTATAAAAAAAGTCGAAACTTTTGCAACAACCCAATACAATTGAACTTTCATTTCTAAAGATTTGGAATACTTCAACATATCATCCTCCGCAAATGGTCAAACCGTGGAAGGAGGTAACCTATTGCATGATCTCAAAAGTTCTTCATGAAGAGAAAGCCAGGACAGTTTATGGCGCAGGCAAATGAAGCAAATGACGCGAGAAATGAACTCGTAATTAATCCTGCTTTTTTACTTTCCCTTTAATTGCCATTAAACATCTGATTTCTGTTATCAGAGAAACTTTGATGTTTAAAAGCATGCTTGTAAAAATGCATTGGATTCAAACATCCATGAAGCTTACTTTAGATCGAGAAATATCTGACGCTTCAACTACCATGGAGAATAAATTTTGCGTTTCTGCGCTCATCCCCTTTACAAGTCATTTAGCACTAGAACCAACAGACTAATGAATTCTTCTTTTTGCAATTATTGAAAAGACAACAGAAACTTCCCAGACAAATTACTAAGGAAATTGATTTAGTAATACGCAAACAGAATGATAAATCATTTGGAACTGCAATAGATGCACTCTGAATTTTATAAAGAAATTTTGAACAGTTAATTTGATTGCTCAATGGTTCTACTATTAACACGTTCCGCGCCACGGAAATCTCGGTTATATTTTCTTTATGGACTATATTGATTTTTTAAATAGAATATTAAGTTATATTCAATTTTTTGGTAATTTTAAATATTTTGATATTGTTCCTTTATGTTCTCGCTACTTTATAACGCATACCATTATCCGTAGCCATGTGTCCCTTAAAAATATTTTCTTACAAAAATTGACGCGTATTATATGTGGTTCATGTGGCTCTAAACGTGTCAAAGATCTGAATATCTCTGTTTCCTCGCGAATAGGCTAATATAACGAATCATTACGATTTTTGAAAAACTGTTCAGAGATGTGTAAGCCCAGAAAATTTGATAACTTACAATTTATCGTGTTATCTTGCTAGCTGCACATTGCAAATGGAAAGTATACAGCTTTTTCACTTAAAACTTCGTTTTCGAATCAATTAGTTCTTTTCAGCTTACCTTTTTCATACAGAGTCACCTATTTTCCTCTTGTACTGTTATTTGATATAATATTATTTCATTTATTATATCGTACCAGGGCTTTGTCTTTGGTAAATTTGTGCGTTTATTATATCGCAGTTCCTTTGTGTTCAACAACAATTGACGTATTATAAATCTGAATGCGTGTTGCGACAAGTAACGAGTTTGTACCTCCGTACAGACTTCCCCTTAGCCGACTTTTCCCTAAGGGCTCTCGTAATGATTTTCATTTTCATGTGCGGTAAATGATAGAAATAATCTGAACAAACGACTAAGCGAGAGGTACAGGGACAATAATTCGTTAGTCACGCCATCGACCCTTTTTACCATGTTAATAGTTGGAAAACGATGTTTGAAGATATAACAGAACGCAATTACGCGTTCAGCTAAATTGCACATAGAACGGGAGAATATATTTGACATGCTATATTTGTTTTATGTATGTTTATTTATTTCGATGTAATAATCTATATACAAATTGTTGAAGTTCACGGAATGAAACGTGATATTAAAATTATATTATTGATTTGTATGAACCTTAGCTTTATTATAGCTGGAATATTTAGTAGTTTTAGTAACTGTGAAATCGATATCACGATAAGTCCATAGTATTTTTTAATAAAAAAACAACTTATTGGTACAACAAAACATAGCTACTCTCAACCATAAGATGGAATTGTTATCAGTGTATTATATTGTAATCTACATTTTCAATGTGTACAAAGGTATTAGCTGTTAAGGTTTTTATTAAAAAAACATTTTTTAAATGTTGCATGATACACAGTAAACGTAAGTAGAAGAAAACCAAATTTCCTAGTGCATTCTTCTTGATGTATGTAGCACTAAATACTTAATAAATAATTGATAGCCAGAGTAGAAATATTACACAAAAAATATTAATAATATTACATACATGTTGCATAACTCATGTCATAAATATTTTACATCAAGAAAATTTAGATTTTCCAAAAAAATTCTTTTTTTATTAGCTTCCTGGCCTCTTTTTAATTACGAATAACAATTTCCAACCCTTTTTTATGTATAAAATTAAAAGAAAATTTCTAACAGTTAGAAGACTACTATTGACACGCTTAAAATGTAGAAACAAAACACGTATTCTTTTCCATTTTTGCACAGTGCACGCACGAACATTCGCGTGCGTGGCTCGACTGTGCGTCGACAACTTGGATGCGCGTCTCCTCGTAAAATCGTCTCTTTCAAGTGGATTTTAAGCTCGTGCGCGGTACGCCGCAGCGGGCGCGTCGTTGAACAAATGTAAACGCGGCCCAACATTTTAATGCACGCGAGTTACGTGACTGTTGTCTACAGATGTAGGAAACGTTGTTCTAAAAAGTTGGTGAAATTTTAGATGGGTGAATGATGAGATTACAGACATTTAAACAATAT